TAGCGCTTTGGCGGCCTCGTACGCAGCAGGGGAATAGCCTAAGCTATCGATGGAGTCCAGTGGGTCGCCGACTAGGTACTGCCTGAGTTGCAGTAGCTTGTACTCTGGTGCTGCCGGAGATGCGTCTATGCATGCCATGAACGCCGCACGCCAAGACTCGAATTTTCTTTTGTCGCCGTTGAATGTCGGAATGCCGATCTGCTTCAGCTGACGCCATGGTTCCGGTTGGTGAGGTGCCGTCAGTGCACTCTGCGTTTGTGGCATGGTGGTGGACTCTGCAGCAGGTAAGGCTAGACCATGCTGAGTTGTCATGCTTGGTGTCTGTGCGACCATTTGTGGGACGTTGCTATAGGTTGCATAGCTAGGCTGCGTGATGTTGTTGCCTGTCCACATAGGTTGCTGTGTTCCATACTGGTTGGGACTACTGAATTGCATACTTGGCATGGCACTGTAGCTGTTAGCACCATAACTACTACTGCTGTATATGTAGCTTGCACTAGCAGATGCAGGATTCGCACTAGGGGTAGGGTAGATCCTTGGCATAGAAAATGCACTTGCACTGGTCAAGTGCTGCCGAGCGGCAGGCTGTGAATGCGTCGACCTCACTTTCGATGCCTGCGATGCGTGGGCTGCGATGCCCTGACTTGCCTGATGCTGCCTGCCCGCGGCAGGCCGACTTGCACTGCTAGATTGTGCACTATACGAAGTGCTCGCGGTCGCACGTGTTGTGACTTCTGCTGCACCGCGTGGTTGGCGCGGAGCTTGCGTCTTCGTAGCGGATGTTGCACTTGAGGCGGTCGGCGCCACCACGAGTCCTGCAACTGACGAGGTTTGCGGTACGACACACGAACTCGTGGCGGGTGGCGGAGCTGCCACTGCTGTCTGCGTGACCTGCGGGACTTCTCTCTGAGACTGCTGTTCGTGCTCTGAGGAGATTTGGATTTCTTTCGTTTGATCTCCCCCATCCGCGCTCAGGCCGGTTGGCGTTCGCCTTTCATCACTAGCTTGCGGCCATCCCTGAACTGGTGCGTGGTGCTCCTCGTGAATGGCGGCAGCTACGTTCACGGCATCTCGGGGTCCCTGAATGGATAAATCACTCAGGCTCTGCGAAAGCTGACGCGAGTTCAGCGATCGTCTCTGTAACGGTAAATACGGGCTAGCCCCACGTGTGCGTGCGTCGTATCTACTATCTTGAAACTGAATTGACCTTTCGTCATGCGAACTATCGTGAGGTGCTGCATACAGCCTCCTAGATCTAGGGACAGGGTCTTCTACTGCGCCTCTGCCATACTCAACAATCATGGCCGATGCCTCTGCATATTCTTCTTGCAACTTCTCAAGTTCTCTCAACATCTTCTCTGCCTGACTATTGTTATCCTCCGTGGTGTAAACACTAACGAGCTCGGCAATTACGGATGCAGCTCGTTCGTAACACTCAGTCAACACGGGTGAGCTTGCTACCTGATCAAATGACAACTCACCGGAACTGACCCGACGGAGATCGACGATCAGGGTCCTTCTCGCGTTGGTGAAGTCCGACTTCACTTGCACTTTCAGCGCTCTGAGTTTGCCTGAGTCCAGGGCGACCGCCTCTGGTTCACTATCCGAAAGTGACGTACCAGACGCTTGCGATGCCACCTCCTGCTCCGCATCCTCCATGCCTGCAGTGCTCCGATTTTCGGTATCGGACGTGCTCATGACTACAGTTCTCTCTGTAATCAACTTCTACGAAACGCGATCAACCATCCTCTGCTACCATTAATGTTCCGCAGGACTACACCACGCTAGTCCATAAACATTAAAACTGTGATGGATCGTAACTACACACTGGGTTCTTCGTTATAACCAAAACGCAAACGTGCTATTAGTGAGTAAAAGCAAAGTGTAATCGACAGACGCTCTTCGTCTCACTTGGACTCTAACTCTCTAAACGTATTCTGACTTCTGGCTTGTGTAACTGAGTCCAAGCGACCAATATTATGCTATAGATGAATATCGCAGCACAACTGCAGCGTAGCTAAGGAAAGGTGAATTGCCTAGAGGCAAATGCATAGCTTGTCGCGATAGAACTGCGACCACATAGGTGCAAACTGACAATACTGAAACACCGGCGATGCCACAAAGTGTCTGGCGTGCCCACTACTAGTCTATTGACATGATCTATGGAAAGGCGCCTACACGTCTACCTCAAATGTCTAAGTACCGTGAAAATGGATGAATACAAACCAGCAAAGCGCCATAATGCTGTAGGGCATGCACATAGAATCGGTATGGCTCGTCTAGCCTGCAGTTACCTAAAGTACCATACATGCACAGAACAATGCATCCAATAGTCCGTGTCCAGACACACTATCTAATGTATAGTCAAGGAGAGCCTCGTGAACACCCCCCCCCCCCCCCCCCCCCACAGCCAGCACAACACATCTTTCGAATAATTCCAGGGTGCAAGTGCAGCTCCAGACAGGTAGGGGGAAGAAGAACACTGTTGAAAATAACGGCAACGAAGCCCAAACTCTCGGGAAACGGCTGAACTAGCTACTGTAACCATGGTTACCATGGTTACAGTAGTTAGTTACTTTGTTAGAAGTGTTCCTGAAGATGTTAAGGCCGAGTAAAAAAAATTACTAGATGATCGTCCTTTTTTTTGGAAAAATCGGGGAGGGCGGGAGGATTTTATTTTTATTTTTTTACTTTTTACCCTCTCATGCACACAGTGTACACAACAACATCAAGGTTTTTTTTCTCTTTTTTTCTTTTTTTTTCTTTTTTTCTTTTTCTTTCTTCAGCAGATCGATACTGACGTTGTGATATACTAGTAGTATGTGGTCCATATAGTAAAGAAAGTATTAAACAAAGCGTGCACATGTTTCCTGCATCCGCGATCGGTAAAAAACCAACGATTTCGGCAAAAACTCACGATTTAAAAAATAAAATATTTCTTGGGGCGCTGACAAAAACTGGGGCGGACGGGGACGATCATCTAGCTTTTTTTTTTTACTTGGCCTAACATTGAATTATTATTATTCACACATATCCGCCGGATGAGTACGCGTGGCCCATATACCATGGGGACCCACGAATACAAACCAGCATATGTTCCCTCAGCAATACAAGCAAGCAAGCAAGCAAAGATAAATGAGAGCCCAGGCAGCGAAAACAAAATGAAGAGAGATGAGGACATAGGCAACGAAAACAATTCCAAAGCGTAGCCAGGGATTGAATGTGTGCATCTGGGTACGACAGTTAATACGGCTAGTGCAGCCGTACAGAGCGCAGCAGCACGAAAATACAAAAGTGCTACAGCAGCAGCCAAGAGTGTGCAAACACTAAAAAAGAAGATCAGTCCATGAACAAATAATTGTCGCCACAGGTAGACATTTCCGCAGGAATGCATGCGTGCACACGAGTAGGCAGGCAAGCATGTCAGGGGTAGGCGTATTATTATGGCCAGGCTAATTAACAGTGCCGTTTCGCAATGAATTCCATCGGCATTTATCATGCACCACCTTCTGAAGCTGGGCTAGGCCAGGTCGCGACAAGCACAAGCCCCAGCTTCTCCCGACAATCCAGTGAGAGAGTGGTTAGCAGTGTTGTTCTTGGTCTGCCTCTCCTTCCCCGCAAGGCACCAGAAGCAGCAAAATCGAGAGCGACCTGTGGCGGTGCCCCTGATGGCATCCGGAGCACATGCCCCAGGAAGCTCCATCGCCTCGCCGCGATCTCCTTGGAGATGGGTTGGGTACGACAGCGGTTGTAGAGTTCCGTGTTTTTGATTATATTTGGATACTTTATACGGAGTAGCGAGCGGAGGTGACGGCGGTGGCAAACGTCCAGAGACGTTTTGAGTGCCTCAGTGAGGCCCCAGGTAGCGCAGTTGTAAAGCAAAATGCTTAGAACGTAGCAACTGTACAGCCTCAGCTTCAACATTAGGGAGATCCCTGATGACTGTAGAAGGCTTTGCATCCGGCCAAATGACTGCGATGCCAGAACCATTCGGTGTTTGATGTCCTCGGCAGTACCAGCTCTCGATCCAACCGACTTTGCCATCCGCCATTCTTCTTTCCCTCTTTTTTCCAGGTCTGCATCGAGGTACAAGTGGGTCCGTTCAGTTTTCGCGCCGTTGACCATCAATAATTGGTGCTCTGGCATCTTCAGCACGCATACGTCATGGGTTTGTTCAAGATTTTGATCATTTTCATCGAGGAAGTCAAGATCATCTGCGTACTGAAGTAGTTCAGGGATAGACGGTGCTAGGCCTGTAACATTGAATAGCCATCGATTACCAGCGTGGTTCGGTGACTTTAGAACTGTTTTGAGACTTAGAACGAAGCGATATCTCAAATTTGATGACCTGTCAAATGCGCGGGCGTCGGGCAAGCACTCGGAGCATAGCAGGCCATGCATGCGCCAGGCCAGGCAGTCGACAGACTGGATGAAAAATAATAATAATTATTTTGCATGGTTCGCGACGTGCAGAAAACTGTATAGCCGCGATCCAAGTACAAGTGCATAGGTAATAATAGGGCTTGAAAGTGATGACGTCAAAACGGCCAGGGAGTAGTAAGTTGACATCAGATTTCTATTTTTGGATCCACTAAGGTGTGACTTTGCTATTGCCTAAGTATGTGGGTGCATAGCAACCCACTCATGTCGCATGCAGGTGTGACTTTTATTTCGCCACCAGTTGTAACCCCGCCCCCAGTAGCCAAATCAGTCAGTTTCACTGGTTACATCACCTTGCTGTGAGTAAGACGGCTTGAAATGTGCTTGGATCCATACAAAAACTGGATCCAAGTGGATCCAATTTTTGAATTTTTGAAATTGTTGCTATGCTGTGACGTAGCACTTTCAAGCCCTATTATATACCGGTATTATTTGTAACACCCATGCATGCGTGCATGCGTGCCGCGACTGACAGACCACAGACTAACCAGAATGATGATCATCACCTTCTTCGATTTTTTCTGATTTCGCGAAATGATTGCTACTTATAATTTGTATTACTCGGTCACGACTCGACTAGCCGACTGTTGCTTTGCCTTTAGCTTTATCTTCTTTTGCGATCTTCTGCCAGGTACCTATGCCTACTTTTAAATTGTACATGTGGCCACCAGGCAGCAGTCACCAGGCAGTCACCAGGCAGCAGTCACTACAACTAAGTTACTTTGTAGCCCTGTTGTTTATCTGAGCTCGTCATTGTAAACTTGTATCCTGGTATCACGACCAGGCACTGAGTCAGTGAGTGGAGGTCGTAGCCGAAGGCGCTCGGCGGAGGTCTGGAACGGGCGCTCGCTAATGCGTGCGCGTATGCACTAGGAAGAAGTGAGGCACCGCACTGGTAAGTGGCATAGTGCGAGTACGAGTAACACTACTAGTACTACATGTAGTAGCGGTTACACAGCAGGGTCCAGCGGATAATGCCGGCGTTATATTCGGCATTATAAGACTATCCGAGGAACAGAGCAGGTAATCATCTAGTTTAGGGTCCCAAATTATTTCGCACTTTACAGAGCATTATGGAGCATTAGAAAGGAACAAAACGAGCATTATGTGAAGTTTGAGCGGCATAACGAGTTTCATAGCGGATAATATCGGGGAATCCCAGGTTTTCGCAACAATCGGGTACAGCCATGGTCATGAGGTGCAACCTTATGCATTGCACCGACACATAACTTTGTGATTGTGTGGACACGTAACATCTTTAGCACTAATGCTACATAATTATACAATGTACATTAATACCTGACCACATTGCTACATAAAGACGTTATGACTGTAGCGATGTCAGGCCCGGCAGAACTGGTCTGGTTGGGTCACACCCGATGGCCGGACCAACGTTTTGGCAACCAACGTGTGTTTACTGCTGAGAGGTCATGTGTATCCCCTCCATATCATACACAAACTGTATGAAAGTCATGTGTATCCCCTCCATATCATACACAAACTGTATGAAAGTCATGTGTATCCCCTCCATATCATACACAAACTGTATGAAAGTCATGTGTATACCCTCCATATCATACACAAACTGTATGAAAGTCATGTGACTACCCTCCATATCATACACAAACTGTATGAAAGTCATGTGTATCCCCTCCATATCATACACAAACTGTATGAAAGTCATGTGTATCCCCTCCATATCATACACAAACTGTATGAAAGTCATGTGTATACCCTCCATATCATACACAAACTGTATGAAAGTCATGTGTATCCCCTCCATATCATACACAAACTGTATGAAAGTCATGTGTATCCCCTCCATATCATACACAAACTGTATGAAAGTCATGTGTATACCCTCCATATCATACACAAACTGTATGAAAGTCATGTGTATCCCCTCCATATCATACACAAACTGTATGAAAGTCATGTGTATACCCTCCATATCATACACAAACTGTATGAAAGTCATGTGTATCCCCTCCATATCATACACAAACTGTATGAAAGTCATGTGACTACCCTCCATATCATACACAAACGGTATGAAAGTCATGTGACTACCCTCCATATCACACACAATGTATGAAAGGCTAGGGTATGGCCGGACCAATCTAAAACTGCTTCCGCCGGTCCTGGATCATGTGGTTAGGTAAATGTATACAAGCCATGATGTAGCATGCCCAACCGAGGTAGTTACACAAATCCGGAGAAAATGTAATGGTTTACGAGCTTTTTGTAACAATGTAATAAGCAGTCAGAAAGTCAGAAAGTGTCAAAATGTACAGTCATGCCTATGATTTTTTTTGCGGGGTAACGGCCTCTTTTACGGGCAAGATAAAGTCATGTAGACGTGAAAAAATAGAGATACCATGAAAGGTAAAATATAATTTTATTCAAGTGTGATGCACACATGTAAGCGAGGTCAGTTTAGTGTTTCTTTAATACGTGTGCATGAGAAACACACAAGACCATCTCTGTGTGTCAAAGTGAGCAAAGTCAGTGAGCTAGTGAATTTCCATTTTTAAATTGGCTCAAAGATGCTACATCCCATAAAATTTGTAATAGAACCAGAATGAATGGCGTTGAGTGCACTACCCAGCCTGCATCTATATCGCCATGTTCCAGTGTACAGCGATGTATGTATGCATAGCCGTGTGAATGTTCCAGTGTACTACCGTTTGTATGCATGGCTGCGTTGGTGGGACGCGAGCGTTCGAATCAATACCGTGCCAGTTAGGCCCAGAAATTCCAATGTGCTTTCATCAATAGTTGTGTGTTCTCTGTGTTTGTTCCATGCAGCGCGCACCTCCGAAGACTGTACTGACAGGAACGACGTATAGACACCACGTTCGAAAGCAATGGATCCTAAGGATAAAGACGGCCCCCCACTCTACGGCTATGATGTCCAAACTGTTCGCCCATTTCCTGAACATTTACGGTGCCCGGTTTGCTTGCTCGTGCTGAGGGATGCAGTGGTGATTGACTGTGGTCATCGTTTCTGCAGATCCTGCATCAAACCCGTCATGTAAGAATTTTTACACATAATTCTGTAGCATTTTGATTCCAGCTAGGCCTTTAATAATAGAATTCACAAGTGCATCGAGCACTCTTTCGAGGACCACACCCAACTAGCCGTGTGTGAATTCACAAGTATTTATTTTTGTTGCAGTACTTTGAGACAAGTCACTCCTCTTGTTTGGAGATACAGTAAAACCTGGTTTAAGTGACCACCCCACGGTGCAAGCACAAGCGGTCGTTAAAGCCAGGTGGTCTTTAGAACCAGGTCCCATACATTCGTGGCATATCGGATTGTGTACAAACATGTACATGTGCATGTTTGTACTTCCACTAGCAGCACCCGGCCAGCGTTGCCTGGCCGAACGTGGCATGCGGGTGAAGCAAGTACATGAACAGCACACATGCTCAGCACGTGGTGGTGGCTACACAATTCGCACGCTTCGCGTGCTCAGTGCTTCTGTGGCTGCTTCCGCTAGCTACACGATTCGCACGCTTCGCGTGCTCAGTGCTTCTGCGGCCGCTAGCTACACTGTTCGCACGCTTCGCGTGCTCAGGGCAGCGCTGCTCCGCAGCGCTTCTGCGTAACACACAGACAAACACACGTCACAGGTGCCTCTTCTTTATAGTATATATGCACTCATATTGACAGGTGTGGAGCATAGAATACTTTCTGCAGGCAAAGCACGCCTCACTCAAGTGCATGCAGCGCATCCTGCACTGTCCCTTGTCACTTCTGTTGACTGCATGCACATGAATCAGAGCGCACTTCAACCCTGTTGCAGTCAAACCTGACAGCCAAGATGGCACTTTTGGTTGGTTTTGTTCGCTGTGTGCAGGTCCAATATGGCACTTGGTACACTAAAAGTCGGTCGCTGGTCGCACAAGGCAGGTGGTCGCTGTATCCAGTGCAGTTTCTGTGTAGAACTGTCCGTGCATGGGAAAACGGTCGTTAAAAGCAGGTGGTCGCTAAACACAGAGGTCGCTTGCACCAGGTTTTATTAATGTAGGTGCTTGGGTGTTAGCAACTTTGCACGATTGCCAATTTTCTGCGAGGCATGATCGGCACCTTTTGGTTTTGTTGCTGTAGGCCACTGTTTTGCGGTGTGACCCATTGAATGCGGCATGCCCTCCCCTCATCCTTCTTCGCCCAGACGTATTGCGATATGTGCATGCTCTTCTGGCGTTGTCCGCAGCGCAGAGATGATTGGTGGTTACAGTGGCGTTGTTGTTTTTTAATGTCGTTGCTGTTAGTCCGGTGCTTTCCTTCTTCTCTGTATCTGTGGTGACTCTTGCCTTATACACGATGCGGAGGATGAGTGGAGGGCATGCAACATTCAGGTGGTGCACCGCGCTAAGCAGTGGCCTACAGCAACGAAACCAAGAGGTGCAATCCATGCCTCACAGAAAAATTGGAAATCACACAAACCCCTAAGCACCTGTCTCTCAACAAGAGGAGCGAACTTGTCTCAAAATGCCACTGAATACTTAATACTACCTTCGCAACTTCGAACTTTGAACAGGCATCACCTGATCAAGTGGCAGACAACCGGTTACTAGAAAGTATGCTTATCACTTTTATTTTTATTCACGCAATGATGTAAAGGACTGCTGTGATTCGCAACATTTACTTTGTGGGTAGATAAACCAGCATTCAGATTTTCTCGTTATTGTTGTCTGGTGATTGCCGCGACGCCTCGTGTGTGAACGTCGGAGTTACATGGACATCTTCGTCCTCTTCATCTTGTTGGAAATCACTCTGCCCTTGGGTTTCGAGCACTCTTCTAGAACCTTTCTGTTTCAAAGTGGATATTAGAACAGAGATATTGCGGCTTCGTCGGCGTTGATGCAGAAACTATTGAGCTGGGAGTGGTGATTTCTTGTAGGTTTCCAGGTGTGAAGTTCAATGTGCTCCCTGTGTGGTGCGGATGTAATGGGAGCCGTTGGCCATTTGAGTGTAGGTGAAATCAGCAGGAGACGTGAGTTCCACATTGGGAGAAGCCAACTTTTCTTTCTTAATCCGTCTTGCGCTGTTGTTTCACTGCTGTAGTGATAGTGGAAACAAAATATGCCCTTTGGACCATGAGCCTGCGGATACTGTGAGTTGAATTTCTGAAATGTGCTCTCTGAGATTACCATCATTATTCTGGTGTATTTGTAGCAAATCCGGTATGCACTGCATCTTGGTTATACCGAATTTCCAACACCTGTGCAATTGTGTACTGGAGACAACCTGTTATGTCTTGCATCACGTCATGCGCAATCATGTATAGTATTCTACATACACTGTATTTTGTACTCGTAACATTATGACTCTATGATGTGTAGTCTTTCCCCTCGCATGTGCATGCTCGTGAAATGATCATGGTCTCTTTCCTCGTGTAATGTCGGAGCGTGTGTCACTAAATGTCTGTCCGATGACACAACCCGATTGCATGGAGAAATCACCCCGAGCCAGAATACGTTGTCACAAAATGACGAAAACACTGCCAATCTATACTTTCTGTGAAGTTGGTTATGGTGTAGTACGTCTGTAGCCTCAACAAACTAGCATGGCGATGCACTTGCACAACAAGCAGGGTGCATGCTACCGGCTGTAGGGAGCAGAACTTTGCTTCTACGGCTCAAGGACGCCACATTCATTGGATTTGGGAAGAGAACTCGTGCTGGGTGGCCAGGAACTATTAGGATTATAAATTATTATTATTATAATACCGTAAAGCCCGCATTAACGCCTGCCCAGTATAATGCCCGCTGCCCGTGTACACACCCAGGTGCCGGTGTAAACAATTGTGTCCCATTTTCTAGCCCACCTCCGTGTGAACGCCCATGGGTGAAAGCACAGGCCCAGTATACAGTGCACTGCACTACACTACACTGTGTACTTGCATGTACAATAATAGGTAGTAGAGAGTACAGTACACTGTGCTAACTCTGTACGTAGGGTGGCATGTTGGTGTGAAAATCAGTCTGATCTTGCTTTTCCGTAACAACGCCGGGGCCCAAATTGATGCCCATGTTCTGGACTTCACTAACGGGCCTTATTATGGTCTTTACGGTATGGCACTTTGTTGCTCAATTTCTGTACAAGTGCTTATGGAGAATGAAATTGAAGACACCACTGCAGCTGTAATTATGGTTGATAAATATGGTGGTAAAGACACACCTGGCAATATGGCGGTAAACACACGCCTGCCCACACACGCTCTCTAGGCTGCAAAGTTCTGGCACAGAGCTCTCCTTCTCACCACCACCACCATCAGTTCGCGCCTGGCGCCTGGTCGATGCATGGCTGGCGGTATCCGGCATAGCAGGCTGGTAGATGATGGTGGTGGTGGTGAGAAGGAGAGCTCTGTGCCAGAACTTTGCAGCCTAGAGAGCGTGTGTGGGCAGGCGTGTGTTTACCGCCATATTGCCAGGTGTGTCTTTACCACCATATTTATCAACCATAAGTGCTTATGGAGTCCAATGAATTAAGCCTACTTTGACCCCCCCCCCCCCCCCCCCCACTCTGATTGCGTGCCACCCTACTCATTTTTTTGGGATCTTTGCAGTTTTCAGTTCACACAACAAAAATGTGGCCACGAATCGATCGTTTCGTTGCTCACTGCGCCCGTACATTTCGTCTGACAAGGCGATAGTGGAACATGCGAAAATTGGTTAACTCGGTTTGTTTCCCTATGCCCCCCCCCCCCCCCCCCCCCCGGTTACAATACTTGCCTGGTTTGATATTTCAGTCTCATAGATATGGCTTGAAGATATGAAAAGTGAAAACTCAACATGATGCTGTGCATCATTTGCATCCCGTTATCCATCAGCCCAGCGTGAAGCTCAACTGCAGGCTTTGATTCAGTCCCTGTCCTGCTTGCAGAGTAGATCGGTATCGAAACCCAACACCTAACCATGCTTCAACACACACACACACATCCAGAAATGCGTGAAAAGACCACGTGTCAACACGACTGGCTTTCTGCGCAGCATGAGATGGGGTCACTAAGCATGTTACACTGTACTCATTGTTGGAAGACGTTCCATAAACATGTGTATACCAATGTGTGGTACTGTGTACTTTTGCAGTGTACTTGCATGTTGCTATCTATTTACTGTCCTGGACATGGAAAACCGGTCCGAGGTCAAGCGGCCCCCAGGGCCAGGGCGCTGGCTATGCAGCCGTGAGTACGCATACGATCAACATGTGTGTGAGCACTGCATGCAGCAACTTTACGTCTTGTACGCACTGAGGGCATCGGACCCGGTCATTCAACGGGATTTTCATTGTCCACAGCAGTATGTTCATTGGCGTTTCTGTATGCATGTGTACTGTACATGTGTGTGTGTGTGTGTGTGTGTGTGTGTGTGTGTGTGTGTGTGTGTGTGTGTGTGTGTGTGTGTGTGTGTGTGTGTGTGTGTGTGTGTGTGTGTGTGTGTGTGTGTGTGTGTGTGTGTGTGTGTGTGTGTGTGTGTGTGTGTGTGTGTGTGTGTGTGTGTGTGTGTGTGTGTGTGTGTGTGTGTGTGTGTGTGTGTGTGTGTGTGTGTGTGTGTGTGTGTGTGTGTGTGTGTGTGTGTGTGTGTGTGTGTGTGTGTGTGTGTGTGTGTGTGTGTGTGTGTGTGTGTGTGTGTGTGTGTGTGTGTGTGTGTGTGTGTGTGTGTGTGTGTGTGTGTGTGTGTGTGTGTGTGTGTGTGTGTGTGTGTGTGTGTGTGTGTGTGTGTGTGTGTGTGTGTGTGTGTGTGTGTGTGTGTGTGTGTGTGTGTGTGTGTGTGTGTGTGTGTGTGTGTGTGTGTGTGTGTGTGTGTGTGTGTGTGTGTGTGTGTGTGTGTGTGTGTGTGTGTGTGTGTGTGTGTGTGTGTGTGTGTGTGTGTGTGTGTGTGTGTGTGTGTGTGTGTGTGTGTGTGTGTGTGTGTGTGTGTGTGTGTGTGTGTGTGTGTGTGTGTGTGTGTGTGTGTGTGTGTGTGTGTGTGTGTGTGTGTGTGTGTGTGTGTGTGTGTGTGTGTGTGTGTGTGTGTGTGTGTGTGTGTGTGTGTGTGTGTGTGTGTGTGTGTGTGTGTGTGTGTGTGTGTGTGTGTGTGTGTGTGTGTGTGTGTGTGTGTGTGTGTGTGTGTGTGTGTGTGTGTGTGTGTGTGTGTGTGTGTGTGTGTGTGTGTGTGTGTGTGTGTGTGTGTGTGTGTGTGTGTGTGTGTGTGTGTGTGTGTGTGTGTGTGTGTGTGTGTGTGTGTGTGTGTGTGTGTGTGTGTGTGTGTGTGTGTGTGTGTGTGTGTGTGTGTGTGTGTGTGTGTGTGTGTGTGTGTGTGTGTGTGTGTGTGTGTGTGTGTGTGTGTGTGTGTGTGTGTGTGTGTGTGTGTGTGTGTGTGTGTGTGTGTGTGTGTGTGTGTGTGTGTGTGTGTGTGTGTGTGTGTGTGTGTGTGTGTGTGTGTGTGTGTGTGTGTGTGTGTGTGTGTGTGTGTGTGTGTGTGTGTGTGTGTGTGTGTGCACGACTGCACGTGTGCGTGTCATCTATCTGTGGTCTCCCTCACCTCTCTTACCACCATGCTACCATGCCAAAGGCGTTTGCAGACCCTTTTGCGAAGCATGAAATTGCCAATTTAGAAGTGTACTGCTCCATGAGCACAAAAGGCTGCACGTGGACTGGCAAACTGCGCAACATAGAGGTGAGTAAGTAGTGCTGACCTGATTTGTACGACTTTAACCGTCATCCGCACCAACACAACTCAACTCTGGCCTGTTTAAAGCTCACATTCTGTAACAGGAAACTGTCAGTGAAAGTAGTACGTGCTGCCAACAGGGTACTGTACGAACACTGCAGTAGTACACAACAGGGTACTGTATGAACACTGCAGTAGCACACGGTACACGTGCGTAGTATTGTACAAGCTGGTCCCGGAGGCAATCGAGCTTAAAGCACTCACGGAGTTAGTTTACCAATAGTTATCGTAATAATAATAATAACACCACAGCACGCGTAATAATATAATTATGTGGGTATAATTATACGTTCCGCTTCTGTCCTATCTCCTATGATCAAATTCCATTATCAAGATAATTATTAGCACGGTGCACTGATGACCTGTGACGCCAGATCATGGATTGTCGGCCAGATTTCTCCATGTAGGCTTGTCCAGAGCGATGGCCCTCACATTCTTCAGCTGATTGCTGCGCTTCAAGTCGATGTTCCTTCTCTGTAAGTCGCTTGTGATGCGCGTCGCAATGGATGTCCTTGGACGTCCACGCCCAGCCTTGGCATCTCCTGCAAAATAGCCCGTCAGCGCGATCCATGGCGGCGCATCCCTGTCCATACGGAGAATATGGCCGGTTAGCTGCCATCTCTCTCGACTGACTGACGATCTTGCCCAGAACTCGATTCGCTCCGTCCGTCTGTTGTCCCGTCGGCTGTTGTGAAATACCCAACCATAGTAATCAAGAAAGACATAATTATTATATGCACATTCGGAAGGCAAAGAATGTAAAAGAGCAATAAGAAAGAAGAAAGCAAAGGAACAAAAGCTCGGCAACCGACAGCCATGTTTTATGTCATTAACCAATAAGCACGCTACGGAAACCGGTTGCCGACAAAATTCTAGAATATCCTGGAACATTAGTATAAGCGGCCAATCACAGTTCACAGCTCTGGAGCATTCTGGAACATTTATAAAAGCGGCCAATCACGGTTCGCAACAGGCAGGCATTCTCTCTCTCTCTCTCTCTCTCTCTCTCTCTCTCTCTCTCTCTCTCTCTCTCTCTCTCTCTCTCTCTCTCTCGCTCTCTCTCTCTCTCTCTCTCTCTCTCTTTCTCTCTCTCTCTCTCTCTCTCTCTCTCTCTCTCTCTCTCTTTCTCTCTCTCTCTCTCAGTTATCACCGGAGCAATATTTTAGCAATCAACACATGTTTACAACTATGGAGGTCATGTGACATGTGTACCCGCCATATCATACACAACGTAGTATGAAAGGCACTGAAACTACCGGGCCAATCAAAAACTACTTCTGGCGGTCCTGCATGTGTCATTGTGTTAGCGTGTTTATGTTGCCTCCTTGTCCCGGGTGACTCACACCCATTGCAGGATCATTTGGCTGTGTGTGAGTACGTCACTGTGCGCTGTCCCAACGAGGGTTGTAGTGAGACCATGCATCGTAATCAACTCAACCACCACGTTACCGATGTTTGCCGCTATACGCCTGTCCCGTGCGCGCTCTGTAGCGTGCTTGTACCACAAGCGCTTACGCCTGACCACATTGCGCAGGAGTGCATCAACGCTGAGGTACAGTGTGCAATGTGCAGAAACCAGATCAAGCGTAAAGAAGTAAGTTTTTAAGTCCTTGTATCATTCCTGAATGATCTAGCATAGCACAGCTTAGCCCTTTGAGCTATAATTAAAATTGCGAGTTAAGGTTTCGGTGACCAGCACTTTAATCTCCCTGCCATAGGTATTGAAGCCTGGTTTTTGAAGCGACCACCCTACGGTGCGAGCAAAAGCGGTCGTTAACACCAGGTGGTCTTTAGAACAAGACCCCTTGCATTCGCGGCATCATCGCGGCCGGATCATGCACAACCTTCATATTGATGGGCGTAGGGTGGAGAACATTTTCATGCAGACAAAAAAGAACATTGTTGAGTTTCACAGCTCACTCAAGTGCATGCAGCGCACCCTGCACTGTCACTTGTCACTTCCGTTGACTGCATGCACTCGCTTCTGAGCACATGTCAACCCTGTTGCAGTCAAGCCTACCAGCCAGGATAGCACCTTTGGTCGCTTTTTGCAGGTCAGATATGGCACTTGGTACACAAAAAGTCAGCCGCCGGATGCGCAACGCAGGTGATCGCTGTTTCCGGTGCAGTTTCTATGAAGAACTGCCGGTGCATTGGGTGCCGTGTGCTGAAAGCTGAAATATGGATTGGTGCCTGAGATGACTGGTCTAAGATTGTAAAGGACAAAATGTTACGAGTTATGACTAACTGTCCACCAACATAATTGGCTCACCATCCAGGTTTGACTGTGCTTTTTGAGACTTAGATTAGCCTCTCCAGTGTAGCCTGACGTTGTGTACATGTGTATGTGTGTGTGTGTGTTTGTGTGTGTATGTGTGTGTATGTGTGCGTGTGTGTGTGTGTGTGTGTATGTGTGTGTGTGTGTGTGCGTGTGTTTGTGTGTGTGTATGCGCGTGTATGCATATGCTGTTCCTGTGCCTTTTCGCCACTGTTCAGCTGGTGCAGCACATGGCTGAGGACTGCCCTAACAAGACAGTTGTCTGCCCTTACCATCAGTACTCTTGTGCGTTTGAGGTATGTTTTGAAGATTTCTTATGGTAGCTCCACAGCGCTGATGATATGACAAGTTAGTGAGATTGCGACTTGCATTCAATGCCGCCAGTGATGCAGTCATGTTGGACCAAACCAAGACCTGTGACTAAGCCTTCGTTGGTTAACTATCCACCTATCACTATACTACATTACATAACTATTGGTTCTAAACAGTTGTTTCAGAATGTTAAAACAGTTGTCCGTTCAATACACATGTACCTGACCTCTAAAAACAAACCATGTTTTCCAACCATTATGATTCCTTTGTTTCTCTTTCGACACAGGGTACTCGTGAGCAGGTGGATAGACACTGTGAGAGCCAGAAGGAACATCATATGCACCTGGTTTCCCAGCAGACCAAGTCACAAGAAGGTACAGTTGGATTACTGTTTGGCACCCCATCCTCCGCACACTCGCGCTCAGTCAGGGCAACGAGGACTGGCTTGGTGACAGTGTGTTGCTCTTAATTAAGTTCAGTAAAACCTGTAACTAAAGACCACCTTGACTAGCGACCAGCCTGGTACTTTATTTTTATTTTTTTACTAAGTCCACTATGCTCCCGAATGAATGCGGAAAGTGGTGATGGGGCCCTGCTGCTCAGCCGACCTTGGTGGTCTCGGCGTCTGCACAGACAAAGCACGCCAAGAAAAATAGAGAAGGACATAAGAGAGAGAGAGAGAAAAAAAGACGAGAGCAAGACATGTATATGGAAGTGCAGCGTACTACCGACCACTTCGCCAGGCACGGACGGTCGCACACTCATATTATGGTTGTGCGGTGCAAACCTCTAACTAAGGACCACCTGCCACTAAAGACCGCTTTCTCTGGCCCCAAGGGGTGGTCGTTAGTCACAGGTTTTTACTGTAACTGGTTTCGTAATGCAAAAGCTGGAAGAGCTCGAAAGTAAAGCTAGGCGACTAGCAGCAACTGGCTCGTGATGAGCAGCGACTAGCAAATATCCAGTTAGAAGCGATAGAGCTGAATGTCCCCAAGTAGTACTGTTGCTATTAAAGAGGATAATGATGGGAAGGTTGGTCAGTGGAGGGTGAGAATTTGAAGCTAACACAAGCTAGACGCAAACAAATAACTTGACTTTGCAGTGAGGGCAACGGCAATAGAGAACATGAAAGCCAGCAATCACGGCTGTGCAGGAAGGATGCTGAATAAATTGGTTGGCGTTGCCATGGGAAGATAAGTGTGACGTCAGGTCAGGCATTGACCTAAGCTGGCAATGTGAGTGCAGTGCCGGAAAGGGCTCAAGTAGCGGTACTTTGCGGACGCAAACACAGCAGCATGTTCAGTGGATGCTTGCAAGCATTAGCTAGATTAGTGCATCAAAAAGATCGGCAGTGCCTCAACTGTAGCACAACCATAACCGGTGTCTCCTGCCTGCCGATATTCCCGCGATGGAGTGTTATCATAAAATTTGTAGTCCCGGGTGGGAAACAATGACTTTCAGACACACCGTGGATAAAATTGTGAGTCAAGCAGGCCTTCTCACAATACAAGTGCATGCAGTGAAGATGCACTCTCGCTTGTTTTGTATTCCTGTTGCTTGTGCTGTACGATCTCTTGCTTACTGGATGTAAATAGTTGCAAACTAGCCTCGACACGGTGGCTGGTCATCATGGCGTGTTGGTGTAGTATCCATGTGTGCATTCGAACGGTTTGTGTTCAAACTGTGTCCTGTATTGTGCTCTGCTTACTGCTGTGACCAGGAGATGCTGCTGCTGTGCCCAGTATCAGTGAACTCGAAGCAGCAGAGCAGGAGGCAGCCCGGTTGGGCGGTACAACCGTCATCCATTTCCTGCACGTGGCAATACTTGGTGCGGCGCGCGTTGGAAAGACCAGCTTGCTGAAGGCATTGCTGGAGAAGATGTACAATGAAAATGAACTCAGCACGCCCGGCATGCGAACGTCCTACGCAACTACAAACATCTCTGCTGACTGCCGATTCATCGAATGCCCAGACATGCCAGATGCCCTGAGCCGACTCTATGTCATCACCATGATGTGCAAATCATCCACTTCGAATCATCCCCAAGATAAGGAGACGACACAAGACGAGCAGGAAAGAGCCACAGCAGAAGAGGATCCTGTGGCTGGGACCCATGCAGGACCTATGGAGGACAATAGCAGCAGCAGCAGCAGCAGCAGCGCAGCTAACAACAGACATTCCCAGCCCACGGCCATCCACCTGCAGCGCGACGAGCCAGCAATGCGCGAGGAAATCCACGAGACCATCACAGGATTTCTCAACGCAGACAGGGTAAAGTACATCTCTGACCGGGCCAACACGCCCAACTATACCGTCATCACATTCCGCGACCTTGGAGGTCAGCAGGTCTACCAATCCGTGCAGCCCCTCTTCATGGCCAAAAACACAACCTTCATTGCCACATACAACTCTTCTCTGGACCTTCTGGAGGCCCTTCCCAAGCTCGATGAATTGCAGGTCAGCCGGGAGGAGTGTATCGAGCGGGCCACTCTGCCGGCCGATGCCACTCGCCTAGACCAACTGCTCGGCTGGCTCGACATACTGCTGCTGAATGCGAAAGCTGACAGCAACAGCACAGACCAGAGTGCTGCAGATGATGTGTTTGTAGTGGGATGCCAGAGTGACAGGTGGAATAGAACTGATCTGCCTGATCCTTGTAAGCTACTCCACGAGAAGATCAAAGGTTCACCATACCAAAACCTTGTCTGGAACGAAACGTCGCACTTCAAAATCGATAACACCAGATCCACTGGCAGTGCAGCACAACCAGATGAGCTACAGCGACTGAGAGAGGCCATCATCGACCGCTGCCAGAAGAGCCAACGTAACATCCCTGTTCCGTGGCTCCGATTCTGCATATCCATACATTCACTCAAGCAGGAGGTCATGCGGCCTTGGATTTCCTTCGAGGAGGCAAAATTCATAGCAAAGCAAGTCAAGGCCGTTCCAAGTGACTACAGTGACCGGCAAATACAGCAGCTGCTTAAGTACTGCCACGAAGCAGGCCACCTGGTGTACTTCTCAACTTTCAAGCTGAAAGACACGGTCATCCTCGACCCACAGTTCATTCTGGACTGTGTCAATGCCTTTGTCTACCTGAAGCCTGACCGGGACATCACAGTGAACGAAGCGCGGCGCTATCATTCTGGGTTCATGACGGAGTCCCTGGCACGCAAAGCTCTCAACAAGATGTTCGAGGATCCGTCTTACTTCGACCATGCTAAGGCGTGGCAAGCAGTCAAAGCAAGCAGTGATGGGTTCAAGCTCATTTTCGAAATCCTGGAGTGGCTCTCAGTGCTGGCAATTGTGCAGGATGAGAGCTCTGCCGAGCACGAGTTTATTGTACCTGCAGTCGTCGAGGACATGGACATGCCCCCACAGACGCCCTCCTGTTCCTGTGCGTACGTGTCTTTGAAGCACGCAAGCCGCGATGAATGCATGCGCTTCCCCGTATTCCTTTATTGGCAATGTGTGGTGGAGGCGCTGCTGAAGTCGCGCAAGCGCTCGGCTGCCACGCTCTCACGGTGCAGCGTTCGCCTTCGCTGGAACAGCGAGTGGCCGTGGCTGAACCTGCACTATACACGCTACGGCTTACAAGTGTACGTCGAGTGCAAGGGCCGACACGACGGCAGCGGAAAGTCTGCGCTGGAGGAAGTCAAGGCAATCGTGCTCACCGTGCTACGGAAGTGGAACCTGCAGGCCGAAGTGATTAGCTCCCTGCCGTGCCCCTGTGGAGAAACATCAGAGGTGGAGTGTTTGCAGCACGGCCTGTCTACGTGCTGCACGCCAAGCTGTGCGCATGCCTTGGATGCATCCACCCTAGTGGCTGAAGACTATCCTCTGTGTACACGTTCAAAGCCGGATACACAGATGATCCGTGAGCAGGCCAAGTTCTGGCTGGGCCTTGATCAGGTGAGAGAGGCTTGACCTGATTGAACTGTCGCAGCTATGCTAAAGACGTTAAGTTAGTAGCGCCTGCCGCCAGCCAGGGTCCACAGCGCTATATTCAGTATGTTTGTGTATGTGTGTGTGTGGGGGGGGGGGGGGGGGGGGGAGGGAGGGGGGTAAACAAACCATATGAGTAGTGTGGCCAGGCCTGGTTGTACCGTAATTCTGTTAAGCTCTGTTTAGGAAGAGAGTTCTTCACACACACAGTTGCACCCTGTCTCTAATTTCTTACGATGTGCCGCTTGTTCCCATCGTATGGATGAGGAGATACCAGTAGCCATTTTAAGCCTACAGTAAG